CCCTTAGTACCAACTGAGCATGGTTTAAACACCATAGCCTACCTGAGTATTGTTGCTGACCGTGTCCATCCCTTTATGACCACAGTGTACCCATCTTCTGATGGCCAATTCCAGCAGGATAACGCGCCATGTCACAAAGCTCAAATCATCTCACTGGTTTCTAACTGGTTTCTTGAACATGACAGTGAGTTCACTGTACTCCAATGGCCTCCACAGTCACCAGATCTCAATCCAATAGAGCACATTTGGGATGCGGTGGAATGGGATATTCGCATCATGGATGTGCAGCTGACAAATCTGCAGCAACTGCGTGATGCTATCATGTCAGTATGGACCAAAATCTCCAGCACCTTGTTGAATCTATGCCACCAAGAATTAAGGCAGTTTTGAAGGAAAAGGGGGGTCCAACCCATGAAATGAAATGTGTTATGTGGACTCAGTTGGCTCATTTTTTAGTAGCAGGGTGGAAATGTCACTCATAGACTTATCAAACATCATTCATTTCCTTTATTTATTGCATTGGTATTAAACTCATCTATCAATGTCAAATGTCTCAGGCTATCTTAGGTGTTCATATTGCATTTCATTTCATTGGAGCTGAATATAAAATTTTGATTTAATAAATTTGCCGTACCATCAATAGAGGCTCTTTTGGGCAGGATGGTGACAGCACCCTCAGCCACGTCCTCCTGGTCTTGAATGGGGGAGCTTTTGGCCCCCCAACTGTCGGAGCCAACAAACAGGAAGTGGCCTGTCAAGTTGGCCTTTTTGGCAGACTGTAACACCCGTCTGAAAGAGAACAGATTATTCTTCCTCACACACTTTCTACTTTACTCCTCTGCTGGTGACCAAGTGTTATCAAACAGGACACTTGGCAGTTAAATATTAAACAGTACATTTTATCATCTGGCTGTTTTTCTTTCTCTAATATGCCGTGCAGCAGAACTTGACTCACTTGATATCGTCCTCGTTGGCAAAGATGATGACCCCACGAGCATTAGAGGTCTCCATCAATCTCTTGATGATCTTCTCAAACTCCCCGGGTCTGGGCTCTCTGGGAATCTTTATGGACTGTGCGATACACAGCCCCCCTGTGTCAGACATATTGGAAATGTGTAAGCAATATTTGTACATCCCTGTGTTCTTCCCTCACTGCACAGTAAAATTATAACACTAATAATCATTATAATGACTGAAAATTTTAAAGAAGTATTTCAAATTGCAAGAAGGATGATATAGCATAAAGTGATATTACTTAAACTAAGATATCCTTGTTTTCCATCCTATTAGCCTACTTGGCAAATGTTAGCATGCTAAGAGTCTAAAGTAAGACTGTTAAAGATATACGAAGCAGGACATTCCTGAAAAACAACAATGTATAGACTCATGCAAAAGTAATCCTTCTCAATCATCAGTTATGATCCACTAGAAGTGTGTGGCGGTGTATTTTTCGCAGAGACTTTGCTCACTGCCTGTATTTTCTTATTTTCTGTGTTCAAAACGTTCATGGGCGTGTTCCCCCACAGCACTCAGCTGAGGTCAGGGCTTTGTAGAGGGGTAGTGACGAGGTGTCAAGAGAGTAAGCAGCAGACATCCAAGTGTGTGAGCACGTTGGCCTGCTGATGTTAGCAGTTAGCTCAAAGCATTGCTGTGTCTAAATCCAGACCCCCAGGGAAGCTATTCAGCCTTGCAGCAGGTTTTTCCCAGTGGCCACTTGCGGCATTGCAGCGAAAAAATTCCCTGCAGCTCAAAAAGCATTCTCCCTACAGATCACCTGAATGTTTGAGCCATGGTGGTTTTATATATTTAAAACTTTCATCAAGCCAAGTAAAGCAATTTTAAAATCACAACGTAAAGTTGATAAGCCGAGCAGGAACTCATGGGTGGGGCCAGCAGGAGAAACACTACTGCGCATATTCAGTGGGTGGCATACTGCAGAAGTAAACCCCGAAGATGGAAACTTTTTTGGTGTATGCGCCAGGCAAGCAACTCCATTGGAATGAATAGGCGCCGTCTTGGTGTCTGGTATCTTGTTATTATTAAACTATATGGCCTAAGTGCAGCATCACAGAGAGTGAGTGTCAGTCTAGATGAAGAGCACATCTAAGCCAATATTGACACTAGGAAACATGTCTGAATTATTTAATAATTCTGTGACCCTGTATGATAAATTATTACATTGAGTAATATTAAATAAGCTACAAAATGAGGAGTCTACAGTCACACTAGCAGCTTTGACACTAATATCTGCATCCTTACATGCTCATAATGGCAGTGCTAACATGCTGATGTTGAGCAGGTATAATTTTTACCATGTTCACCATCGTAGTTTAGTGTTTTAGCATGCTAACATTTAGTGCTGAGGACCAAACACAAGCTACAGAAGGAACAGATGGCAATGTCAGTTTTGTAGGATTTGGAAAATGAAATTTTGATCTGATGATAATGTTTGATGACAAGTTAGGAGTCAACCAAAGATAATACATTTCATCCTGATGGGAACCTGAATGTCTGTACCAGACACCAATACAACTAATGAATAATAATGTTAATAATAATAATGATAATAATACAAAAACCTCATGGCAGCACTCGGTAAAGGTCAGGGAATCACCAATGTCATCAGGATTCATCCTCTGGGGACAATTAATGTCCATATAAAAATGAATGGCAGTCCTTTCCTAATGAGATATTTGAGTCTGGACTGAAGTGGTCGAGCGACCACGGTCAGTATGCTGCTACAGCAGTGATCTGTCCAGCATTTTCAATTATTGATGTGCAGTATGTGTGTGATACTATGTGAAATCTGAACCCTAGTAACATCATTTGAGCCTTTAAACCCATGTAAGGTGGTGACTCCTATTTGCCCGGTTACATCTTGTGTTTTAAAGGATTTTTGTTTCCTATTTTAGTCTTTTAATGAGTGGGAACAACGCGGCTCGCTAAATGAGTAATCCCTTATTGTCACAGCAATGAATTCACATTTCTACAGCCAGACACACAACCTGCTTCTCTGGATATCTGGAGAAAGGCGTCGACACCGCTCTCTCCGTAGTTGCCCTCAGATGCCAGCGTGGAGACGTAGTTCCAGCCCATGGCTTTGACTATGTCCACCATAGCCTGGGCCTGGTAGGAATCAGGAGGCACCACACGGGAGAAGAATTCATAGCGGCTGTTGTCGCTCAGCTCCGGGGCAGTGGAGGCATAGCTGATCTGGGGAATCTGAGACACGAGGATGGGTCAGTAATGACGAAAGGGCAACCAAGAGCAGTGCAAATTAGGCCAATATGTGATAGCAAGATAAAAAATAGAAGAGGCAATGAACCATAACAGAGGATGATGCACCACTTACTCAGACAAAACCTTAACAGAATCTAAATGGAGGCCTTCCACTTTTATACTAGCAAGTTGTAGTGCATTAAAATCCCAAAATTGGACCATCATAGAGAGCAATCATCTCTTGAACAGCCTGTGTTCTCAGTAATTCTCAGAATTGACGCAACTTCACAGTGTGTTCTGTCCAGAGCTGGTCTGTATATATAAATATATATATATTTATATAGACAACGTCACAGTGAAATACAGATGGTTGGAACCACAGCTGTAAAAGCATTTGTTTGGAAAAAAAGGATGAGAAGATTAATTTACTGGTGTGCTACTTCTTTAATGACACAGTTTATGTCGACAGTCTCAACCCTGACCCTGCTAATGCCGGTCCCACAGCGTGGCTTAACGTTGGGCCGAGGAGAGAAAGGTAGACACAAGGGGTAGTGAAGGGAGAAGGAGAGAGGAACGAGAGAACCATTTCACAGATTATCTGGAAGGATTATAGGGGTTTTAGTCAAATTACGTTAAGCACAGAGGGAGAGACAGAGATCAAAAGACTAGAAAAAGGTTAGCATTTCTCAGCTGTAAGCCATACAATATATTTAATTCTGATGGCCACATGCAGCTTCAATTTGCTGCTGTGCGTTAACGCCAAGCTCGAACTCACTGGTCAGCCTCCATGTCACAAACAACATCTTCAACCAGGTGTTGACTCTCTCTCAAAAAAAAAACTACTGTGTGTTGGACAAGTTTATTAGGTGACATTTGGCATCAGGGTCCAGAGAAGACTGAGTCAGTGAGGTGAATCAATTGTGTGCATGCAAATTTGTAAAGAACAAGATGAAACGTAATCCCCTCCAAATTAATCCGATAAAAGCATCTGCACCAATTCACTTTCTAAAATCAATGAGCCATATCAGTAACACAAGTATCCACTTACAGTCCCGTAGCCTTCTGCTGAAGTCTCACTATCAGTAAATGACTGAAACAGTCCAAGGATGGGATCCAGGATCCAAGCCAAGGAAATATGATGGTGGTTTAGTTTGACTTAATGGTCTGATTTATGATGATCTGTTGCAGGAACAGCCTGAGTAGCCTGATTAAATGTTTTGCTTTGTAATGATTTAAATCATCATTTCTTTGCAGCAGACTTATTGAGGTTTAAGAAAATGTACTTAAATCTGCAGTTGCAGACTTATGATTCAGACTGCACACAGTGTGTTGAAATATTGGATGACACTAAATGAACTGCATCACTATAAATAGGGCTACAATTAATTTAATTTTGTTATGTTAAAGGTCCAGTGTGTAGGATTTAGGGGTATCTATTGGCAGAAATGGTAAATCCTTTTCATAACTATGTTTTCATTAGTTTACAATCACCTGAAGATGCTAATCTTTGCATCTTCATTGCCTCAGAGTGAGCTGTTTATATCTTCATATGGAGCAGGTCCTCTTCATAGATGTATAATAATAAATATATTCTGGACCCCAAGATGGCGCCTATTCAGTCCAATGCAATTGCTCACCACGAACATACAGCAAAAAAGGTTTCTAGCTTTCTAGCCTGAAAATGTACGGAAGTGTTTCTTCCACTAGCCCCACTTACAAGTTCCCGCTTAGCTCGTAGACTATATATTGTGATGACATCATGGAGTTTTAAACCGCATTTCTCAACTTGAGGAAAATTTGAAAAACCTTAAACCTCCGTGGATCCATATTTATAATAGATAGAGTCATAATTAACCTTGTTTGAAGTTTGAGGTGGCGGTCTATGGAAGCAAGGCTGAGCTGCCTTCTTGGGGGCCTGATTCCAAGGGTGTATATAGAGACCTGGACCCAGCATTGGAGGCAGGACCTGTTCATTCCTATGAGAGTTGTTCAGTGGCACATGAAGCCAGAATGGGTCTGGGGATTACAGGCACTGCTTCCGCACTGTGCAGCACATAGACCAGGCGCACTAGAGACTTCCGACAGCCAAGCTGGCTACTTCTGGTTTAGCACTCTGTTGACTTAAATGGCAATAAAGTTCTAACTTTCTGAATGTTATCAGCCAGAATGGATTAAATCCAGACAGTGACACAAGTCATTTTGCAGGGTTGTGATGCTAAAAAAAATGTCCACTGATTTACAGACATCTCCTTCACCATGTAAGTCAAATTCTTTTTGGGCTGCAGGGCATCACGTGATGGAGCAATTACACTGCTTAGCCGCTATGAAAAATGGCTTCAAAGCCCAGCACAGTCCGCCATGTTGTTCTACAGTAGCCCAGAACAGACAAATCAAACACTGGCTCTAGGTAGGGTCGCTTCGGCCACCATAGTTCTACACACTTGGCAGACAGGAGAAGTTTCAGTTCTACAGCCTCACTGCTAGATGCCACTAAATCTTACACATGAGACCTTTAATACAGATTATTTTCTGATTAATTATATGAAAATAAATTAGTGACAAATATCTTTTGATATGACCATTTGATGTTTTCAAATTGCACATTTTTTGTGTGACAAGTGGTTCAAAACCCAAAGATACTGCATTTACAGTGATGTAAAAGAGTAAAGCACTAAATCCTCAAATTTATAATGCTGTAGTAATAATAATAATGTCGATTGACTAATCAGCTAAATATTTCAGCCCAAAATTAACTGTTGAGTAAAATACAAAACTGATGTGATTCACACCTTGTAACTTGTATTGTATAAATGTGACCTACACTGACAGTTTTCATTTACTGCAAAAGAATAAGCAACATTAAACAGAGTGTGTGTGGCTGATGCTGAAACATCTCCTGCTCCGGCTGAGAGCAGATGTTCGATGTATAGTGACCATCAGTCTAGAAGTATCCGCGGCGTGGAGAGCAGCACATATGGACAGTAGGAGGAAACACACCATTTAGCTAAATCTATTCCACGCCGTCCAGGCTACAAATTGCTGTTATCCTAGAACCAATGTCATCCCGCTGCCCTGATGCTCTATTTTCAGCCTGGGGTCCTGAGCTGCTGAGAGGGGCTTAGTGGAGGGTGGGATCTGTAATTCTGTAGTTAACATCTGCCCTGTATGCAAGCTGACCCTCCTTGGCTCTCATATCAACATCCTTACTATAAAGGATGTTGTAACAAGGAGAAATGTCTGATTTAATTTTTTTATCTGATACAAATTCAGCCAATTTGACAAAGACTAGTGTTGCTGTTTTTTTTTTTTTATTTAATTTCTAGATTTCTGGCAGACTGCCGGTATGTCAGTAAGTCAATGAGAACATGACATCATGTGGGATTTACACAGACTCAATGTCCCATCATCGTTATAAGCAGTGTAATCAATTATCAAAGGTCAATCATCTGTAAAAGAAAAAAAAACTACAATGAACACATAACACGGATTAGTCTGCGGAGGCTGCGCATGACAATGGATTCAAAATCCTGTGAAGTGAGGAGACTCATTCAAATTATTCATCATTTTAACTGACTTGTTTCGAAGTCGTATCAGATGAAATGCGCACTGATTATTTGTCTGTGCAGCAGCAGTGAGGGGATATGTGAAACAATATCTTATCAAAATATCCACTGAGGTAACGTTGATAATTAAACGTGAGGAGTACTCTTAATTAGGTTTGTAAAATCCATAAACCAACTGCAATTAGCTCCCCGTGTTCGTGCTGCAGAATGAAGACACAATTAAATGATGACCCCATTCATCATCTAAGAGCGGATAAAATGATTAAATGAATAAGACCATTGTGTGCTCCTGTACATCTTAACTAGATCAGCAGTGAGCTGATTTAACAGCACAAGCATGAACAAGTGGGTTCATTAAAATAGAAGGTACAAGTTCAGCTACTCTGAGCCTTAAGTCTACATCAAAAGCAAAATTATCTGTTTGTGTTTATTCAGACATATGTGAGGTCCTGTTCCTGAGCACAGCTGATCACTGATATCACTGACAGATCTGATATCAGAATGCTCTGCTATGATTAATACTATGTTTAACAAATTTTTCCAACATAAACAGCAAGAAAAAAATGGGAGAAGGGGCTGAAAGCACATTTGCTTTCTCCCTCAGTGTGAATTTCAGGATCTGGTCCCACGTCTCACTACTGCTGCTTGTGCTAGGTCAACATATTTTTGTACAACAGTTTGTATGATTTCTAACAAATTAGTGCCCCACAAATGACAGTGAGGTCAGATTTAGGCAAGTGAAGTTTTGTAGGTTAGGTTTAGGAAAAGAAACATGGTGACCACTTATCTGAAAGTGACTCAAAGTTCATTTGGTTTGGGGCGTTGGTGGCTTAGTGGTAGAGCAGGTGCCCCATGTACAAGGCTATTGCCGCAGCTGCCCGGGTTCGAATCCAGCCTGTGGACCCTTGTTGCATGTCATCCCCCCTCTCTCTCTCCCCCTTTCACTCTTACCTGTCCTGTCCATTAAAGGCAAAATGCCCCAAAAAATATCTTTAACAACAACAAAAAAAAGTTAATTTGGTTTCACATGGTATCAAACACCAGTCTTGTGTCATTTGACCCATCCACAACCCAACATACATCCCTGTGTGTACTACTACTTTGCTCTTGTCAGCGCTCTTGTGATCACAGCTTTCCCTATTACGTGGATTATACATAAACTAGTGGCTCATGATCACATGGGATTTATATATAAATTGTGGTGCATTACTTTTTGAAGGTATACATATGCGTATGAGAACAGCCTGGCCAAACTGACCATCAAAATGGCTAGCGTTAGCATTAACATTGTAGAGATTCAGCCATATATGTTTAAGCTTCAGTCAGACCCAAACTCAGATGAGGAGTCAAAAATATCTGCTATGATGTCACAGTGTGTTTACGTTGTTACATTGTTATTATTATATACCAGAGATCTAACCAAAATTTGTATTAAGTTACATCTGGTTGAGATTTTTATATTAGGTGTAGTAAGTCCACCCTGCGCTGGAGGTTTCACATTTCTATGCTGGCATTTGCACATTAGACAGTGATTGGCTTTCGTATTAGTGATGTACATAATCTAGTCTGCCTGGCCTGTGTACATTTAAATCTCAGATTTTAGGTGTACACAGCTATCGCCCACTTCAGTAGAGAAATGTGAACACACCTCTTTGGTGACAGACACAGGTCAGTATAGTCAAGGTCAGATGTGTTTGGGGAGATTGGCATAGGAAAAACACATTTCTGAGTGTAGAGGAAGTTTAAAGATGTATTCTGGATCGCTGGACAGTTTTTGACAGTTACTCTTAGTTTGAAAGTCACCGACTAACTTGATAACTTTTTGGTTCATGACCCCAAATCACTTGTTTCATTTGATGGATTTTTGAGGCTTAAAGTAATAAAAGTATCCAGAACATATCACGTTTTACAGATTTATAAAGAGACAGAAGGGAGAGACAGGAAACACAGGGAGAGAGAGGAGGTTCCTGGCTGTGATGAAGCATGTAATGGTGCAGGCATGTGGCACATGTCTAAAGCAGTCAACAACCAGGATGCCTTAAGTATCCAATTCAAAGAAAAAATAAAAGATGTTTGTTTGTTTTCTTGACCCTTTAATCATTTTGGACCTCTCAGATTTACCCTGGGACCAACTGAGGGATCCCAACTCCCAGGCTGGGAACCTTTGCTTTAACTCATGTGCCTCTTTTTTTCCTCCTTTATGAATAGATTAAAAACGGAAGTGAGTACAGGATAATGGCTTTCACCTAGATCTCACCCCATCAGCTTACTTACTGAAAAGAGAAACTGTCCCAATTATTTTGTCCTTTCAGAGTTTAATGGAGAAAGGTGGTGAAACTCACCGCAAACAATCTGAGCACATTGGCCACCATGATGGACACCGAACTGCCAGACGCCCCAATCACCCCAACCACCCTCTCCGGTTTGGGGATGATGGGAGGCTCTCCGTTTGAGCAGCGCACATCTGAGGTGTCCTTCTGGATGAGTGCCTGGACAAAGGTGAGCGACTGCTCCAGGGCGTAGGTGTCTCTGGAGCAGGTGTCAAGGATCCGGGCCCCCAGAGTGATGTTAGGCAGCAGGTCCGGGTCACTATTGATCTGGTCCAAGGCGTACAACATGGCCTCCAATCGATGGATCCCCTTTTCTTTCTTGACCTCCCCACAGGGCACCCCAGCAGGTCCCCGAGAGTGCACTGGGAACAGCCCGCCCAAGGTGATGTCGCCCTCGATTTTGATGGACTGTGGCTGGGTGCCCTGCTGGGCCCCTGAGCTTGGGCTGATACCCACCAACAGCGCCCACATCAGCTGAAGCCATGTTTGGTACCTGAAAGGTGAAGTGAGCCGGCAGCACTGATGGGATGAGCGGGCCTCTGATGTCATGATGATGACCGGCAGAGGTACTGACAGCACCAGGCCACTCCCTCTACGTCTGACACCTGAGGGCAGTCGGAGATGTCTGATTATCATCTCATCATCATGACAGTGTGTTTCCAAAGTCTCAGTCTTCGTTTGGAGAAGAAGAGGGCTGCAAACTATCAAACTACTATTGCTGCTTACCTACTTGGATGTTTATGTCAGTAATATTCCTTCAGTTTCAGAGCTTGATAAATCAGTTATTTTAACTTCATCACTTTATATTCCATATTTTGTTTGATCTGTCACTTAGTCAGTGTGAAATATTTAAATAAAACATGCATTTTTTATGGTCACAACATAAAATGGAAAATTCTAGATGTGTTTTGCATCATTTGATAAACACTGTCTTGTAATTAAGCATGCCAGATTTTGTATCTTTGGAGACTTGAGATCTTAAATAGAATTTAAACATTTTTATAGGTTTTCAGCTCTTTGAACATTGCATTGATCCATATCAGATAACAATGTGTTTAAATGCAGAGAGCCCACAGGAAGATTTTTTTTTAAATGTCTGACAACAACCAAAGCCCTAACCTTAACCCTTTTTGACACATTTTCTGCTGCAGTCTATTTTCGGGCATTGGATCCAAACTGAGAAAATTTGAGAAAAGAAAATATAAACTATACTCCATTTGAAAAGCTGTAGCTGAGGAGAAGATTTAAGACAGCATGCATGATGACACAAAGTGAATATTGGAAGCTTTTATCACAGAGAGAGACGATGATGGAAAACATTATAAATTTTGCAAAACAGAAAACATCAACTGAACTGTCGCAGCATTTCATGCTCCAAAAGTTGGAGTAGGTTAATTTTATCAGCATGAGCATCACTGAAGAAACCCACAGTAAACAACTGGGCTAACCGATCCCACAGACTATAAAACTAAATTATTAAGAGTGTAAATATATTAAATATTTGCAGGCAGGATTTGAACAATAGAAAATATGAATTATGGGAGCTTAATTTTGGTAAATTTAGTATTAAATCCAAATGTCTAACATAAATAAATAACAGTTTTCATGCTTACAGAATAACTGTCTTTCAGAATCACAATAAGATTTATTATCAAGTAGATTTTCACTTACAAGTAATATGCTTTGGCTTTTTTGGTGCATAGATTAAGCATACAATAAACATACGAAGAGGAAATAAAAATAAGGCAAAGCACTGCAACTCTCAAGAATCAAGCACGAATCAAATTACAATAAAAATATACTAAAAGTACCATAACATAAAAAATGTACAGTGTAGCTGTTTCAGAATTAAAAAGCTGCACGGTTTTGTGCAGGATGTGTAAAACTGCATTACCATACAATTGCAATACATACTTATATTCATACTCAAACTTATATCTATGATGCCAAATCTTTCTATGTTTCTGTACTGCACTTGTCAAGTTGATTTCATGGATGTTAGTTGAAAAGATTCCCAAAATAAGAGCACAATGTGAAACTGCATAAATCACACAACCATTTACAGAGAATACTGTCACAGGCACCCTGCAAGTAGAGACATTCCTTCATGTAAAGGCGCTTCTTACCTGCCCATTCTTCATTGACCAGTCTTGATTTTATCCATCACATGAGCTCTTCCAAACAGGCCTCCATCCATGGTCCGAAATGTGATTATATATCTAGAGGCTCTCCTCTCCTCGCCAAAAGTAAATCCCCTATCATCTCAGACCGCCGCTGTGCACTCTCAAAAATAACCACCACACAGAAAACAACTGTCTAAAAAAAAAATAAAAAAAGTAGTTGTGATATATGAAGACTAAATGAAAAGACTGACTTTTGAAGCTTTAGTTTATAGTATCATTGCAGAATCAGAGAAAAGTGGAGGAAACAGCACAACATTACAGCAGTGAGAGTCTACAAATCACTGCCAAATCCCTTAAAAGCTCTCCCTCCCTCTCTCTCTCTCTCGTTCTTTTTCCTCTGTGTGCATCTCTGTCCAGGCACTCCCCCCCCCCCCACTCTTTCTCTCTGTTGAACCCTCTCCTCGCTCGCTCTCTCAGCTCACTAATGGCCACAGATTGGGATTATCATGCAGGCGTCTGTGAAGAAAGCACTAGGTGGACTAGCCCACTTCTTTTTTTTTCCATGCAGCTGAACCAAATGCAGAGCCCCCTCCCCACCCCCTCCAGCATGATGGAACTCACTTTGAGAGATTAGATAAGCAGCGATTTGATTCATACTCTCACAAACACACACACACTGACATGACACACACACACACACACACACACACTCTCTCTTCACACACCTGTCAACACTGGCACAATGGTGGAGAATGCCAGAGCAGAAAATACATTTCTGCACCACAGAATGCAGCTGGATTAGATTTATTATTGATTTGAGTTGATGCTCTGGGAAAAGCAGCCCCCGGATCAGTTTGCAGCTCATCATCTGTCAATTAGATGCTTGAATGTGGTATCACTACTGCCGCCTACTGTACCAATATACACACAGCGCATCACACATTTAAACTTCCATCATGTGGTGTTACAAAAAATAAACCACAGAGCATAAATTTCTTCACATTACTTTTAATTTCAAGTTAACAGACTCTGTGACATATTAGAAAAAGAGATTTTCAGACTGCTCATTGAACCCAAAACAACAAGGTCTAAGGTTTGCTAGTACCTCTGCAAAACGTGACACATTTAGTTAAAAACTAGCCTAAGAAGACAGACTTCTCCAAGCCATCCTCAGCTTTGGTGTACTCCAGGTGAGATTTGAAGTACTGGCTCTTGTACCGCGGGCTGCTCCGGACAAATTCAAGATAGTCAGGAGTTCCTGGGCAGATCACGTTGTCTGCCAGTAGGACGCTGCCTTTCCTGAGGAGGTCGCACTCCTGATGAAAAAACAAAGAGCTTCATGCATCATGACAGAAAAGAGTTTGATGAATAGAAAAATAAGCACAACAAACTTGCCTCCATTAGTTTTGCATCCGGAAGATAGCGATCCTTCCAGTGATCCAGGAAAATTAAATCAAATGTTTTCACCCCAAACTGCTCCTTCATTTTGGGGATCCAGTCACCAGATGCTCCTTCAACTAAATGGACCTAGGAAGAAGAAACACATCCTGAATACCAATTTTTGGCCTTCAAAGTTTCATTGATTACTACTCACAAATATTCAACCCTTTGGCGGAATGTGAAGACACCTGGGGGTAATCAATCAATCACATTCATATAAGCTAATCAACCACCATACCCGGCCTAGTCTCGCCACCAGACAATCAGAGATCTCCACCTTCTGATAAGTGTCTAAAGACTGACTTGTGAGTCTATACCCGGCCCAACTTTTGTAGGAATTAGCCTTGCCATGTGTGTGTGTGTATGTGTGTGTGTGTGTGTGTGCGTATGTAAAAGAAAGAGTGATAGGGAGGGGAAGAGAAGTTCAAAGGGGGACTATTGTTCCTGTAAGTTATTAATAACTCTAATGCCACAGGTCAGACCACATCACTAGATGCACAGCAGTTGCAAGCCGTGGATAACTGTCAACAATTTCTCTAACCTGTTCCTTTTCCTTGTCGGTCAGCCAATTTAATAACTTGAAGTGGGGGTCAATGATGTGTTGAGAATACTGGCCTCATCTGTGTCTGACACTTACCACCTCCTTTCAGTTTCCTCCACCAGTTTACTGGTGATAAAACAAAACAATATACAGAGCATTCGAATACTAATTTGGATGCGAGTTACCATGGCAAGCTTTGAAGCATTCTGGTCAGCACTATTGTCATCTGACCTGCCGAACATAAGGCTGAGTACCACTCAGCACCTTTAAGTACCAAGTAGGATTAGAATGTCTCCTGTCAAACGATACATGCATTCATTTTGCACTGGGGGCCTGATCCTTGACTTTCCCAACTCTCTGCCAGATAATCAAACTTTTCAAACAGTTTAACATCTGCCTGGTTAGCACAAGCTAACAAAAGCAACAGCAGCCCACACCGTTGAACCCATTCATAACCGTTAGGTAACGTTAGCCATGTAATGCTAACAGTTAGCTCTGTCACTGTGTATGTGCAGCCAGGCAGACACTCGCCAACTAGCGCGGAGCTCACACTCCGGCAGCAGCAGGTACAACTTTTACAGTCTGTGGTGTGGTGAAGCCGAGCCAAGGGTGCTTGACAGAGTTGGCAGTTCAGCATGCCGAGATGCTACCAAAATATTCAAAAAGTATATAAGACTATACTACACGCCTCTCTAGTCACATTATGGATACTGATTGAAGTACTCTATTGGTATTGGTATCACTTTCAGGAAACCAGTATTGGTACTGGTATCATAATTGTTTTAAACCATACCCAGCCCTGACTGCACACACTATGTAATGGATTGTTTTTCAGTTTGTATGGAGACACCTGGCTTTACCTTATCCTCTAATCCTGCCCAAGCGATGACTTGACGAGCAATTGCAGCATAGTCTGGGTTGAATTCAAGAGTGATGAGCTTGCCGTGAGGGGGAAGCAGGCTGGCGATCCGTACCGTGGAGTAGCCACAATAGGTTCCCAGCTCCAGTACAGTGGCTGGGTTTACCTCAGACACCACTGAGTCAAGAATGCTGCCTGCGGCAATAAAACAAAAAGAAGATACCAAAACACACAAGTGAGGTAATGATGTCCACATGAAACACAGAGTCACATGGTGAGAAATCAGTACCTTTCTCATCCCCCACATTCATGGCCCATTCCTTGTTTTTGCAGAACTGATCAATGGCTTTCACCACGCTGCGAGGGTCCCCTCTGGTGGCGTTTTTCTGTACTGCATCCAGTAGCCTCTGAAGGGAGAGAGAAAAAAGCTAGACATGATATATCTATAATGGAGCATTTTTTAATATCACTGTGCGTGTCATAATTATTCACTCATTAATATTTTATAGATAATTAATAAGTAAACATTAAAAGAACTTGGGTTGCCAGTTGTAACCATGCATTAGAGCAACAGACCCCATGTGTTGGTGTCTGTTTTCTTGTTCTTCAAATTCTTTTATTTGGAATTTTTCTCCAAAAATTCAACACAACACCATTAATGTAAGACATACATTTTTATCCTTTGCAGCTCAATACCCCTGAATGAAGGTGGCTTGTCTTACCTCTGGCTCACACAAAAACGATCAGTTTATACAAAAGTCACAAAGTGAGCTCAGAAGTATGACATCTTGTGATATACATGTCGAAATTGAGTTTAAACTGGAGAAGTATGTGTGGCATGAAAAACAAAAGTACAGAAAGGCTATTTGTAATTTTAGAGTAAACAACACCAGAATTCCTCAAGTCACTGGAAGATATAAAGGGCTGGACAGAAACCGGAGGATTTGCAGCCTCTGTGATGATAATGGTGTGTGAGATGAGTATCACATTTTGTTTGAATGTCAGAATGTAAGCTTAATGACGTACAGAGAAAGGTATTTGCCAAAGCATTATTTAAACCGTTCATCTATGTTTAAATTAATTTTGTTATTACAATCATATAAGCCAATAATTTGTAAATAGGCACTTTTTTGAAGAATGCAAGTAACATTGGTTGTAATTTAGCCACCTGTTTGCCATTGTTTTGTTATTGTATGTAATGTTTGTACTTCATACCATGTGATATGGTTGTCAATCAAATAGATGGAAAAACAAAGATACACAAAGTGGCCCCAAAAGACAGAAATATACCTCAGAGATACACAAATTAACCTTTAAAGAGACATAAAACAACAACAAAGAGACACATGATGACTGAAAAAAGACAGAAAGACACAATCTACCTCAAAGAGATACAAAATGACCACATAAGACACAGGTATACCCCTGAGAGATGCAAAATGACCTCAAAGAAATACAAAACAACAAAAGATGCTGACAACAACAAAAAGAGACAAAGCTTGCACAACATCTATGTGTCTTGTTCCTATGTGAGAAGTGGTGGGGCTTTTTTATGTCTGTCCCCCAGTATCTATTGTGTCAAAATCCACCTATGATAATACTGTTGAGAAGCATTCAATCCATTTTTACATGTTTCATTGATCATTCCTTTATTATTACTTCATTACTATGTAAGTTAGGCCTAAATAGGAAGCATCACTCAACATAGTAAATTTAATTTTTGTTTTTGTCCATTTATTAAATTTTTTTAAAAAGCTAATCTAAGTCAGCTTTATATAGACTGGAAGTAATCTGATGATCAAGACTTTAAAGAGGCCAGTAGTTTAAAGCAGAGTTAGATAGGCTTAAGGAGAAGCAATATCCTGACATGTGTTGACTGAGGTATATAATATAAGGCATCTGTGTATTTATTTTTTTAACAAGTGTATCCTCAGCATATTTTCTTCTCTTGGTTGCCATCAGCTGATCACCACTATGACGTGTACAGCTGGTTCTTGTTAATCTGTACTGTATGTGCAGCACCTTCTCCAAGTTTTCTTACGGTTTAAACCCCTCTAGGTAGTTGTGCTTTTACCTGTTGCTGCTTCACTGTTTGCTTAAAGGTAATGCTGAGCTTTCTTTGCTGAACCTGTTCAAGTGTAGTAGAGTGTCTTTTACTACATCTGACTTGAGTTAGGACTGACTCTGGCTGTCTTAAACCAAGACGCTTTCCTCAGGGACGTAGGTTAAGTTTCAGGGGACACATGTGAAACAGGTGTTTTGGGGGTTCACTGCCAGAAAATTTTGAGCATCAAATGCATTCTGGTGAATTTTTATGCAAGTGTTTCTGTTTCAATTTATGATGTAATTGTCTTTATTTTGTCAAAATAAAAGTAAAACTCTGCCACTGTAATGTTTTCATTGGGAGAGACAAAAGCCCTGTTCTAGATATTGAGGGGGATGTGTCCCTGCACTCCCCTTTTCACTCACCTTTTCTCAGGACTTACGTGGGTGTGTACAGACTAGACCAGACCTGACTGACTCTCTCAGTCTTCTGTAATTGTGGAAAAACTTGCTAGGAATATGTACAC